ATTCATTATTAAAGTTAAAACAAGTTGATGGAGTTTAATGTGATTAAATTGCTCAATTTTAGCCACGCTAGCAGCGCAGCAATATGGATTGCAATGTCTGTCTGGCAGTTGGTCCAACACTGTGTTCCAGACTGAAATATTAAATTAACTATTAGATAGATTGATTCGAAATTGTGTACGGACATTCATGGTACGCAAATAATGAGGCCTACTATTTGGTAATGTGCTGACTGATTATGTGGGAAGTCATTACAACTACTGGTTAGACTGCCATAAAATCTGGTATTCATGAACCACTCTGATTGAATTGCATTAGCTTTGCTGATGCCTTTACTTTCCATGCAGCACCATCATCAGGTCAAAATTTCAACTTGTCCAATACTTTAATTAATGACCAAATACCTGCAGATTAATGACACTCTCACCAGCCTCAATTGCACTTTGTGTTTAGGGCTGATTAGCAAATGTTAGCATGCTAATCTAAGAGGATTACAATACACTTAAGTATCACAGTTTTGTGATACTGTATTGATTCTTAAAAACACTGTATTCATTTTTAAAAGTAGTTTACATGCAAAGGTTTGTGGGAGTGGTTCATTTTGTGTTGTGTCAAACTTCCAAATGTTAGATCCATCAGTGTTTTAATCTTGCTTACAGTATCGCAATATATTGTACTATATTGAATCATAACCTGTTATTGTTACACAAGGGTGTAAGAAAATATTGATACACTTGAGTATCATAATGTAATGTTTTGTGATACTGTATTGATTCTCCAAAACACTGCATCCATTTTTAATTAATAGTTTACATGCAAAGGTTTGTGGGAGTGTTTCATTTTGTGTTATGTCAAACTCTGTCAGTGTTTTAATCTATCTTCGGCCATATTGCCTGCATAAACACAAAGAACACAGGCCTATGAAACAGGCAGAGTCATAAGGGGCACATCACTAGCACTGAAAGTTTTCCTAAAATTAGATTTAAAAATAGATAAATATATCGCCTTGCTTACAGTATCGCAATATATCACCATGTATTGAATCATAACGCCTGTATTGTGATAAGAATCGAATCACCAGATTCCTGCCAATACACAGCCATAATGTTATACCTGCTAAACATGGTAAAAGACTACTCCACCAGCATACATCAGTTACTCACTGCGTGCCTCCTCAGTGAATGGAGAATCCAAAAAAGACAAACATTGTTTATGAATTGAAGTAAACCAGGACCACATTTAACAACAGCAAAACTAAATCAAAACATCCGTTTACAAACTCTCACACAACTCGTGCAGTATAATCCAAGTCTCATTTATCCAGTCATGTGCTCAGTACATCCCAAACATTTTGCATTTTCACTAAAACATTCTGATTCAAAACACTTCCGCCTACGTGTAGCTCAACCCAAGTGAACTCAAGCATGTGCACACATGTGCCCAGGCTTGCTACTCACCCATGCAGCAGACTGTTTGTATTGACATGTGTGAAATGTTTTAGCAAATATGCATGTGTTTGGGAAGTACCGAGAAAACAACTGGATAAATTGGACCTAAAGTATACTGCAGGAGTTGTGTGACAGTTTGTCCCCATTTACTTCAGTTCATGAGGAATGATCACCTTTTTTGGATTCACCGTTCACCATGAAGGCATGCAAGAAAAACAAATTCACCGTAACACATGGTGAGTAATTTATACTCTCCTTAGACCGGAACTTTAGTTTGATATGCATTTTTTATTTCATCTAGCTATTTGGGATCAGCAGGACCTGATAAATATAAAAAAACTAAACACTGTCAACCAAAATTAAGTCCCAATGTCCTCAAACGAGACAATATTAAAGTCCCAACATCTCCAAATGAGTACTTCCTAATTAACAGCGTCTTAGCTTGTTACTGTTGCTAAAATTGGTCAAATTTGTTGCCATATTAAACTACAAACATGATTAATCATTAATAAACAAGTTTCAACAATAAAATGTGATCATGATTGTCCATTTTTGTGTCGGGATCGGCTGCAGACTGACTTAGGAGAGATGGCATCTTATTTTAACATGGATTAGTGTATTGTGCTCTTACTGCCACTAGATGGCACAAACAAAGTCCACAAACGAGGACAACAGGTCTAAGTTAAGTTGAATAAAGTATAACGTCAAGTAAACTCAAAATGTGATGTCCTCATATAAGGACAGTATTGCTTTAACATTGTCACTGTGAGCGTATTAGATTGCCGATGTTACCAAAACACCACTGTGCCAAAGTGTTTGGCTGTACACTCATAGTCTTGTCGTACTTTGAACAATAAAGGAAACAATACGTAATACTTTCAAAGTGGCTCAAACTTCATCAGAACACTAGAGAAAGTCAATTCTGTGGAGGGCCAATTAGGACACAGTCTAGACTATCAGAATAGACTATTTATAATAAAGTCCTCCCCAATACAGTGTCAGTGACCTTTGTTTCTGGCCTGCGAGAGACTGATAAAACAGGTCGCTCTATCGCACTATTCATACCGGTCCAGTTAGACTCCATGCCCTCCAGTGTACCTCCCGATTCTTATCCCTCCCCTGCATCCGCCAGACATGCCATTGCTCCGGAGAGCCCTAACAAAGCTGAAGGAAGTAAGAGACTTCCACATGGAAAAGGCAATTAACAGCTCAGTGCCCTAGGGACAGAGCGAGGAGGCAGGGAAGGGAGAGAGTGCGTCTGGAGATATAAGAAAGAGAGGAAGGTGTGAGGGAGGACGAGAGCGAGAACAGCACAATGGTACTGTTTCTGATTCAAAGCGGCGGACCAATGAGGATAAAGCCATATGAGAAACCAGCTATTTTTGATGATGTTCTTCCGAATGTCCGGAATCAAAAGATCCCTCGGTGTGTATTCCCAAAAATACATTACAGAGAGAGGAGAGAGTAGTTGAAGACAAAAAGAAAGATGAAAGACAGGGGAAGTAGGAAGCAGCTGAAGGAAAATAGGAATAAAGTCAAAGAAAAGGAAGAAGAACCTTGTGTTGGAAAGGATGTGCGGGAAGAGAAAACAACGTAGAGGAGGCAGGGAAATAGATGGAGGGTTGTGGTTATCAGAGTGAGATCTGCCAGTCAGTGCCATCTCACTCGACGCAGCTGCCACGCTGATTCCATCTCCCCTGAAGAGATTAAAAGCATTGAAACAAGCAAGCCTCGTATCGTCCCAGACAGACGGACAAAGACAGAGGGAGTAAACTTTCCCACAAAGTAAAAGAGATGGAGCGATAAGGGAGTGAGACACATGCCTGGGACTCTCTTATAGAGTCATCATTTACCGGCCACTCTGCTGACATTTACTTTCGGAGTGTGTAAACCGGGGCCAGGTGTTAGTGAGGGGAAACCATCCCTCTCTGACACCACTTGGCTGACTTATCAACCCGGCTTTGACATCCACAGTCATTCTTTAAATGCAGCCTCTGGCCCAGTGCAACACAACAGAAGCCGTAGCTAAAAAGCAGCGGTGCTTAAAAGCGTGCTGTACTTTTCACACCCTTGCTCTTATCTCTGTACTATCTCACACACTCCCATCTCACACTCTCATCTCTGGGCAGGAATCCAAAAATGTCACAAACTGCGGGGAAGGGGGGCTTTGCACTTCCCTGCTCAGATAGGAGATGTAAAGTGAAGCCTATGGTTAATTTTTTTGTGGCCAGCCGCAGCCATTACAGTATAGTATATGAGTCTGGAGTGGGCTGACTTGATGAATCTGCTGTCTATGGGATATGATGATTCAGCCGCGCTATTACCATGAGTGATTTCAGCTCAAGGCAAGGCTAGCACTTCCGCTTTATGGTCACAGAGACAGAGGGGGCTGCTGATGAGGAAACATAAGTTAACGTGGAATGAGATGAGAATGACTTTCAAATCAGAGGCATTTTTAATCAGCTCTTTAGAATTATGGTGCGTGGAATGGGTTTATAAATTGATATTGTGCCGTTGATGTAAATCCCAATGTGACGAAAAAGGGTAATGAAGAGAAACGCAAGCAGAATACACAAAATCTCACATACATTCACGTTTCGTTCTTTCTGTGTGTGGTGCAGACGGGCTTTAGTCCAGCCTGGGCTTAGAGGTGAGTTTAATGACCCTCATGATCAATTTAATCTTTTTCATTTTCCTTCTCATATCCCATATTTAATGGAGAAAGTTCTCCTGCTCAATTCTGCACTCATCAATTCAACATGTAACTCAGAAGATGAGAAAGGGAGATACAGGAAAGAAAGAATAAAACAAAGAGCAAAAGCTATTTTCTGCTCTGAGAAAGAGGTTACGGCTTTACCATCTTTTTCCATTAACAGGAAGGAAAACTTGCCATTTCTCGCCTTGACCCAGACGTAATCAACAGTCACTGCACGGTTCAGCACCCACACTGAATGCAGTGATCCCTGCATACTTTAACATTTAAACAACCACCCCTACCATATACAATGACCTCCTGACAATCCCCCACTAATCAAGACATGATCAAACGGTGCTTGTATCCCTCACATTAAGACATCACCTGAAGACGTCCACATGATCAGATGCTAAGACGTGAGCTAATAATCCCAGTATGGTTCAAGAGGCCAGGGCAGATTTATGTGCAAACGGGGATTGCTCTTCCTAATTTATTCCGCCGTGAAGACCAATGCGGGGCCGCCAGGCAAGTGAGACGAATGGCAATGACTGTCTGTATGGACTGGCAGATAGGAGGAGACCCTCACTGCACTGCATTAACTTTTAATTATGACTTTCGGGGAGATGCAATTACCCATCTGAGACTAGACTTGCTAAAGCTCCCCAACCAGACCATGCCCGTCTGTACCATCATTTGTAACTTTTTCCTTGCTTTCCCCCCAAGTTTTTTATTTATTTTTTACATCTGGCTAGTTTAGTGTTGTGTATCACTGCGGGCTGTATTTCTAAACTGCAGTCACCCAGGATTGTTCTTTCTTGTCTCTCACTTACCGTCCATTTGTCTCTCTGTGTCCTTCGAGGTTTCTCTCCAACACCTCCTTCACCGGGGCAACAGGCTTGATCCAGGTGGATGCTGGCCTCTCTCGGGTCCTCTCCTCCCAGCTGTTCCACGTATGGAGCCTGAAGAGGGGTGCTCTCGGGCAGCCGGCCTGGGTGACTGTAGGCCAGTGGACCCGAGGCAGACTGGAGCTAGAAGGAGGGATCCTGGGACTGGTGGGAGGGTTCGGGAGCAGCCAGGGACAAGGTCTTGGAGCTGGGGTGAGGGGAGGGGACGGCCAGGGTGACAGTAATGCTGGAGAGCGCTGGAGGCCTGGAGTATCCGTTGAGGGACACCGCCTGAGGGTGGTGACGCTGGTGGAACACCCGTTTGTCTTCACACGGGAGGTGGATGAAGATGGATTGTGTCCTGCTGGTCAGCTCTGTCTGGACCCCAAAACCAACCGGTCCGACTTAATCCAGAGCCTCTTCAACCAGCTGCACAACCCTAACACTACAGTTACAGACTGGGAGGGCATTGGTAAGTTTTACAAGTTTTACATTGGCATTTGTCCTCAAAATACTTCATGGTGAAGCACTTCTATGCTGAAGAACTCCAGCAATACCTGTGGAGAAACCTTTTAACTCGTGGGAGGCATCAGTTCTAATTTATGAAAGCTTCTCTTGTGTAAACTGTTAGATCTCTTAGCTCAGATCTCATAGCTGTATCGCCGGCCACTTCTCTACTGCTACTCCTCAAGATTTAAGTGAATTTTTAGAAGTAAAATCAATAAAGGATCATGGCTGGTCAGTCCAGTTCAAAAATATACCAGGTGCAATGTGAAGGGCTTAGCTACAGCTACAGCTCCGTGTCATGAATGAAGAGGTCTAAAGGCATTAAATCAATAAGAGATCAAGACTGCAGAGTCAAAGAAATACCAGGTATGACGTCTCGGACTTCGGAGACTGTTGGCCACAAATACAAGCAGCCTATTGTATAGCAGGAAAATGTAAGGCATTTTAACTTTGTTTGACTTGAATCAGCAGATGGCAAATGAAGGACAGCTAATTGAAATTTGTATTGAGGATGACATAAGAATTCACAAAATCTCATATTCTGGTGCTTGGGCAGAACAAGTGGAGACCTTTGTGCCAAGTTTCAAGAGCGATTGGCATACTGCTGAATTTTGATTGACTGAGTTTGCAATAAAAAAGCTTTGCCAAAAGAATCAAAGTGACAGAAAAGACAAAAATTGCCTGTCCATCCTGCCAGCTCTTCTTTTTTCTCTATACCCAGGTCAACAATTGTTACATTTTTCTAGCCCAAGGTTAAATGTGACTAGGGACCAATCCCAATCCCTATTTGTACCCCTACCCATTGTTTTCAAATGCCCTTTTGCCCTTCAGGACGGGATTACAAGGGGTAGTGGTTCAAATCTTTTGCTAAGAAATGGGACAACCCTTTAGGACCCTGAACCGTCATCAGCAGTCGTCAATGGTGTTTTTATAGACAGATGCTATGGCAATAATGGCATTATCACAATGACATTTGCCGTTTATCTGATGGAGTTAGTAAAGCATGGACGCTTGTGATTTGTTCACAACTTAAATTTCACACTATCAATCAATCAAACAAGTTATCAAATAAAAAACGAACACTGCCTCACTACCGGGCCACTAGTGGTGCTCTGTAGGCCAGTGATTCCTTTCTGGTCCAGCCACGGGGTCCAGATTTCTTCAAGGTCTGCATAGTTCAATGTATTCAGCGTCATACTTGCATTTGGCCATGTCTTTGAGCTAGTTTGCTGTCTCTGTCATGTAGCTGTCTGTTAGTCACCAGGGAACAGATCTTCAAAATAAAAGCTCTGTGCCTTCGCAAGTCACTTGGGGTCCATTCGGAATGGTCCAGGGACCCACTTTTGGACCAGGACCTACCACTTTGGAACCACTGGTGTAGGCTAACATTAGCAACCCGTGCTCCCCCCACTGCCAGTCTGCACTGACGTTAGAGGAGCGCTAGCAAGTGTAACAACTTTGCTGCTGGATTTAAGTTAAATTTCGGATGTCATATGTCAAAGGAGAGGAATACAACAGGGAATATGTCAAAACGCAGGACTGTCATGCACAAATCAGAGCTTGCAACGTAACAATAGGTAGTCAGCTAACATACCACTGCAATTTGTTAAAAAGTAAATGACACATTGAAACAACATTAAACTGAGATAATACAATGGTTATTGTAATTATTAAACCTTGAATTAAAAAAAAGATTAGAAAAAAAGAAAAGAAAATACATTTTTGGTTTTATCTTGTTGCTTGTGTAGCCATCTTATCATTTTTCCACTTTGGAGTTATTTCCTGACACACTTAGGCCTCTATAGTCAATATGTGGAACCTTTGATACTCACTTTCTGTACTCCTAAGTTCACCTTTGGGGGTACCCCACCTATAAACGGGTGTCTCCTGCCTTATCTCTCCCCTTTTGCTGTTGTACTCCATGAGAGAGGGGCTCGAGTTATATGGTCATAATTGACGGAGGATGTTGTTTTTACCTCTTGCTGTCAGAGCTGTCAGGAATAAACGGAGATCGCCTCCAAAGATATCCACGGTCTGGGTCTCTTCATATCAACACAACACAGACAACACTAGAGTCCACCAGTTACACATAAATCCTTTACACTTTGCCTCACCCCTCTATTCTAACAAGAACTGGGACATCCTACCCTCAGACGTAAACGTGCAAAACAAAGGGGTAAGGGCAAAGTCGTAGGGGCAAGGGTTGTTTTGGGATTGAGCCTGAATGTATTCCTAGCCTAGGTGCAGGGGATATTTAATACACATATGCACAACTGTCTTGTGAGGATCCATAAACATTTTCCATGATTCGTACCCAACAGTTGAGGACAAAGTCCCAGAAGTGCAGCCCCTGTCCCTGGGATAGATACATTTCAAGTTATTATCATTTCTTTTCTGTCAGAACTACCGGAGGACCTGAGGAAGTGCTGCTACGGATACTGCATCGACCTGCTGGAGAAGCTGGCAGAGGACATGGGTTTCACCTTTGACCTCTATATTGTTGGAGACGGGAAGTACGGAGCATTGAGCGGGACGGGACGGTGGACAGGGCTGGTCGGGGACCTGCTGAGTGGAACTGCTGACATGGCTGTCACCTCCTTCTCCATCAACTCTGCCCGGAGCAGAGTCATCGATTTCACCTCACCCTTCTACTCCACCAGCTTGGGCATTCTGGTACAAATTGCTTGAAGTCATCATTAGTTTGTTGGAGTTTTGAGTTTGTATTTTCATGATTGGAGAAGACACGGGGCATGTCCTGGAAATCTACTGCATCGTGAATCAGTGGCAGCGTCGCAGTCTTCTGTGTTTCTTTGATTTGTCAATCTCTCCCTCCGTCTCTCTGGCTGGCACTTTTTCTGTATGATTTGACGATATGGTCCGCAGCTACTTAATTTCAGCCTTATGTCCCACTCACTCAGTCTTCTGGGGAGGAACGCGGGATCATTAGTTGTGAATAATTAGTTTGCTGAGTTTTCAGTGGACAATTATTAAGGTTCAAAATGAAAGGCAGTTTAAGAGTGTATAATGAGTCTGAGAGGCAATTTGAGAAGCTGTCCTCCAACATGCTGCAGTTACAGTATTCTTTGATTTGTTAACATCTCCCTCCGTGGCTGAGAAACTGCAGCACATAATGTGATTTGACAATATGGTTCCATTTGAAAAAATGATTTCTTGCCCTTTCAAAATGATGAATAGCACAAAATAAAAACAATGTATGCAATTTTTTAAAAGGTAATTATGCCCTGGAGAGAAGTCTGGCATGATCAGTGCTGGACCTAGCACATATGGCACCCTAGACAGGCACCCCCAGGGGGGGCACCTCTCTGGATGCCTGTTTAGTCCAGCCAATCTGTGGTTTGACCCAGGGAAAATTGCAATAGTAGTCATTCAAGGTTTTTTTGTGACCTTTTGGGACATCGAAATAACATATTAAAAGTATACCACTATATACTTGGATCAAGGTCAATTCAGGGCTCAGAATTCGACGTCATTATATCACACAAAGAAGTGCATATATCTCCTTCTGAACGGGATATTTTCATACAACTTATGTCCAAACATTACTTTTCTGGGATGTTCTTACACATATAACCATCAAATATAACCTGTTTTCAATGGATATGAGCACTTAGGGGCTACCTATACCCCAAATTACCTTTTTGTATCCAAAAAAAATCAGTAAAATTAGGTATTAAAGAATATTATTAAATTTTATGCACATACAAATTTGTTTTCCATGAAAACCATGTAGCATATCAGCACTCGGACTGAGACCCTAAATGAGACCAAGCTTGAAACATGTCTCGGCTCTAGGCCTACATGTACTCTACACTTCCTGTCCTCATCCAGACGTCGTGCTGCCATATTTGTGCAAACACATCTACATTCTGAAATCAAGTTCTTGACAACATTTGCAGCGCATAGCGCCACAACCTGACCTGCAATTGCAGCGCACAAATTCCAACAAGGACCAAAGAATAGGGTCCTGGTCAGAATGGATGGGAATAAGGCATGAGCCTTGGATCCTCTAGCCCTATTCCTCCAGTGGTAGTAAGTTTCCCATCCATTCCTGAATCTGATGGTACACTCTGAAGCTGTAAAACATTGCACACGTTGTTGGCATGTTAGTTGTGAGGGTGGGTAGCTGTTTTGCTGTAAGTCAACTTCACATTCTCAGTTATTCATGGATCAGTATCATTGCCCTCTTGGTACAGATTGATAATCTGAATGATCCTTTACTTTTATCCATTATAAAGCTGGGGCGATTCATCGACGTAATCGATATCATCAGTTATGGAAATAGGTCAATTTGCAAAATGTGCCTCAGCACATCGCAATTAAGTAACACCTGGGACACACTGTCTGCATGAGCAGCTCCTAACGGCTACCTCACTGAACTGATGCGACTTGCACGCACTTTAAAACAGCAGCAGACAGCACCGTCCTGTTTACTTTTTGTCTCCGTCCAGGTATGATATATTAGGATTATCAGCACGCCGAACATGTTTCTGTTTGTGGTGGTCACTTAATGTAATATTAACATGATTTCACACAGACTATATAACTGTAGAATGTTGAAAGTTTGCTTTTGACCTCGAAAAAAGAATGTTCCACCAAATCCATGAAGGTATACTTTTAATATATGATGCAGGAGGGTATTAAGGTCAATAAAAACTATGAAACATTAGTAATGCAATTTCTCCTAGGTTGGGCCTTATCTTTGAGTCAGATTGACTGGACTAGTAGGACATGATCTTACAAGCTGTAGGATGAATTCTAACCACAATTCAGCACAAAAAAACAGTACATGTGATTCTTACAGTGTGACTGCAGCAAGCCAGTTTTTTCAGTTTTGTCATTCTGACCTACCAGGTTCGGAGCCGGGACACTGCAGCACCCATCGGAGCCTTCATGTGGCCTCTCCACTGGTCCATGTGGGTGGGTATTTTTGTCACGCTGCACCTCACCGCGCTCTTCCTCACCTTGTACGAGTGGAACAGCCCCTTCGGCATGACGCCCCATGGCAGGAACAGGCTGCGCGTGTTCTCCTACTCCTCTGCCCTCAATCTCTGCTACGCCATACTGTTTGGACGTACTGTCGCCACCAAGGTAAAAGCAGCTCTCCTCTGTGTGATAAATAGGCATCATGCAGGGTGGGGCGGGGAATAGAAATTGCCAAGAAAAGGGAGGAGGGGATTTGTGTTATTAATAAGAGTACACCAACAGTGAGGGCAAATCGAAAAGAGGAAGTTAGAGAGGAAAAAAGAAGAAAGATGATCGCAATGGCCAGGAAGGGGGAAAAGATTGATAGGGGAGAGGTTAAGAAGGTAGGCAGTGATGAAGTGGAGAGGTACAGGGAGGATAATGCACATACAGCGAGGGAGAGGGGAAAGGGTAAGTGGGCCGACAGAGATTGAAGGAGTTATGGTGAGGATGATGGCGATGGATGAAGGTGGAAAAAGCGGGAGCGAGTAGAGGTTAACTCCCCGAAGTAGTGAGACACAAAGTTGAAAACAAGATGGCGGGGGGGAGGAGGGCCAGCGGGGGGGTGGAGAGGTGAGAGTGCAAATGAGGAAATGGGCTTCAAAAAGAAGGTAATAAGGACATTGACAGAGACATGGGGAGACGGGGTTAGAAGGGTAAGTGGCCATGTAGAGAGCAGCATCAGAATGAGGGTGACATGGAGGTGGGCGGACAGAGGATGATGTAAAGGGGAAAGGGCAGCTGGGTGGGCACAGTTGGAGAGCCAGTGTGAGAGAGAAATGTGAAGCAAGTCGTCAGCGAAGACAGATGGAAGTCAAACTCTAAGACTTAGGCAAATCTGTCCATTTAAAAATATATACAGCGAGAAGAAAAACAATGTATTGCCTTTCAAAGATTAGAAAAACTGCTCTTATTTTCATGTCATTTTTTTTGTATAAACACGCAAAGAGATTAAATGTACCTTTGCAGTAGCGGCATTCTTCAGAAACCTGTCAGATTTGACTGATGGTGTCATACCCATAGTCACACCGAGGCACACACTCAGCCACGACGCCAATGAAAAACTCTCCCCTGCATTCTTTGTTTTTTAAACAGCAGCACACTGTGCCAGAATCCATCATTATGATAACTTATGCTTGCGCTTCAAATTTTCATGCAGCACATTCTGATAAATACCTGGAACACCATTTGCTTAAATTATTCCTGTAACTCCTCTTAGTGAGTATGCACACCATTAGAATATTTCTTCAGTTGTCCCTAAAGGAACCAGTGCAAATGACTCGGGTGGAACAGAGGCCAAGTGATTAGAGAGACCTTCCCATAATTGAAAGGTCACAGGTTTGATCCTGGCAACTGGCAATGTGTCAATTAACAGGTTTTGTCTATTAGCAGCTGTGTGACCTGTTAAAATGCCCTTGAGCAACACTCAGAACCTCTGTGTGCTGGGTCAGAGCCAAAGAGTCATGTTTATTTAGGCTGTGGGGAGGGCAGTGGGCAAGTAAATCGATTGCTAAATTGCTAATAATAGCTTGTTTCCCTGGAGTCACCTTCATGGCAGTGTCCGGACTTAATTCGATTTGGACCATTTTAAAAGAATTTGAAATAAATAAATGAATGGAAAAGCACTTTTTGTTCTTTTCAAAACAAAGACACAAAAATGCTATAAAAATGCTGCAATCGCTATTATGTGTGGCTATTAGCTTACTACCTATTGTACGGTTGTAACCAAGCATTACTTCCAGGGCCAAGGAGCACATCATTAACTAACTACATTAGTTTGTGGAATTACAAGATAGGTTGAAACAATCTGTTCACGTTCACTGCATAGCATGTGTCCATTGTGTGGAAGCTAGTCTTGGATACTAGCAGAGGGTAATGTAACAGCTCCGTTCTTCTTTGTATTGGATTTGGTTTTAAAGGTCAGTTTACCCCAGAATCAAAGATATTTTTCCTCTTACATGCTATTTTTCAATTTAGATTGTTTTGGTGTGAGCTGCTGAGTGTTGGAGAAGTCAGCCGTAGAGATGTCTGCCTTCTCCCCAGTGTAATGGAACTAGATGGTGCTCGGCTTGTGGTGCTCAAATCAGCAAAAAAATACATTTGAAGTCTCAACAGCAATGTCTCTTTATAGAAATCATGACACGATTTCTCAAGATAAGCGTTTGTTGTGAACAGTTATGTAGAGGAACTATTTTCTGTCTTCTGGACTCCACTTGCCGACCACATCACCACGCAGAAGGAAGTATCCACCTACTGCTAGCTCATCTAGTATCACTTAGCTAGCTAATGTTACAGCTCAGCCCAGACCAGAGGAACTTTTTCATGGAGCACAGACATCCAGAGGGAGTTGGGAGTTGAGCCATGGCTAATCCACGTCCAAAGGGGTCAGTGGAGGTGGTTCGGGCATCTGATAAGGATGCCTCCTGGGCACCTCCTGTTAGAGATGTTCCAGGCACGTCCCACTGGTAGGAGGCTCCGGGGCAGACCCAGAACACGCTGGAGGGATTACATATTTCATCCAGTCTGGGAACACCTTGGGGTCCCCCAGGAGAAGCTGGAAGATCATGGATCATTTGCTTGGCCTGCCACACCCACGACCCGGTCCCTGGATAAGCGGATGAAAATGGATTAATGGAACTTTTTCATAGTTCTAAAACCCTGCTTTACGTTGTGTCCTCATTACAAAAAGTAAGAACAATCATAGCTGTTAGAATGCCATTTTGAGGGACATTTTAAGCTCCTATTTTAGAGTATGTACTCTCCCAGCACAAGAGGAACCATGATTGACATAAATGTCTTTTGATTGAATGAAAACAACTGATGCAGAACCAGAAACTGCCGTTTCCAAAAAAAACAAAAAAAAAAAACTCTTAACCGTCTATTTAAACAGCTCACAGAAAGGTCTGTGGAATATCTTGAGTATTGATTCTGGAGGGAGACATTGCTGTAAAGTTTTTCAACCGTATTTTTTTTTTTTGTTTTTTTTTTTTTTTTGGTGCTATGAGCAACACAAGCCAAGATTTTGGCTACCCCTTTAGGACCTCAACAACCCTAGCCAATGTTACCTGAAATAGTGTTCAGTCAGGACCACTTAGTCAAAGTGAACTTTATTTCTATTTGCAGTATTATATTTGGCAGTATGGCTCTGTTCTGGGACCTCTCTGCTTTTCCTAGGCCTACGCAGAAAGCCTTAGGCAGAGAGAGCACACCTCCCTGCCCTTCCATGCGCCTACATGGAAAGCCTGAGGCAGGATCCCCTGGGAACAGAACAGAGCAGCATCAGTGACAAACAGTTTGACATTGATAAGTCAGACACAGCATGAAAAGGAGGAGCAGGGGTGGAGGCGAGTTGCAAAGTGGCTTGCAGAGGAAGCAGCAACAGTAGGCAGGTCAGAGCAGTTTAAATAGGGCACCCTGAGTGAGATTCGCCAGTCGGTTGCATAGAAGGGAATCATGTGATCTGTCAGCTGCTCCATCAGTTGATTGGGCTGCTTGAGATCAGCTGATGTAGCTGGGATGTGAGCTGAGCTTGACATTGTGTCCTGCCTGAACTAATGCTATGCTCAATTTATCTTTGCCAAACATACTAGCCTGTTAGCCTGTATCCTTAAAGCCTTTGCTCTTGTAACGTTATCGTTAAAGCATACTGTGTGAATAGTATGGGGGTTGTGTTAGACAGTCTGATCTTACATTTTTCTCTACAATCCACTACACTGCTGAAAAAAGCGCCAGTCATAGTCAGTGTCTTCAACCAACTCATGGGACTAACGTAAGCTTCATTAGCTAGCTAGCTACCACTGATGAAATCTGCCAGCAACAGTTGCCATTTCAGATGTAAAATTGCCCGTTAGAGGCCCGAAATTAAAAGCCTGTTTTCATCTAGCCTGGTCCACATTTCTTCCTGAAGAATCTGTGTTCACAGTGTGCATGGCATCCTCCCTTTCTGTCCTTCCAATTCACCATCTAATTATGCAAAGAGTTGAAAACATACCGAACACCTCCGTAATAATGGGTTACAACCTTGTTTGTATAATTAATGCCTCATTAATCCCAAGCCTTTTAAAACACTAGAAATTCATCTCTTTTTTCAGTTAAGTGGATTTTAATTGGAGGAATAAATAAATGATCACAGTGTTCAGGTGGATTCATTCCCCTAGGCAGGCAATTTCATGGAAAGATATTTCTGATGTGCCTCAGAAAAAGTCACACTTGTTAGATTTTTTTTTTCCTCCTCTACATTAGCTCCTCTTCTGGTCTGTTTTGATTAACTTGATTACCCTTACTCTGGGTTAAATTGTGATTTTTAAGGAGGGTGAGAATGAGAGGAGGGCAGGTTGAGAGTCTCGTGGGGCTCTACATTTATGTGCAGCCTGAAAGCACCTCTCCACATGCATTTGTATTTTTAATCCGTGTACAACCCCTGTAGAATTTTTCTTATCTCAGTTTCCTCCGTGTTGTTTGTTGTCAGTCTGTTTCATTTCTGTCCTGACATCCTGACATTTTCCAGTTTTGTGCTGAGGTATTTTTAGATCTGCTATTTTTTCTTCTCTTTTTGATCTGTTAATTATTTTATTAATTAGACGGAAGCAAACAATCTCTCTTGGCATGCGTCTCCGCTCTGCAGACTCCTAAATGCTGGACCGGGCGCTTCCTGATGAACCTCTGGGCCATCTTCTGCTTACTGGTGCTGTCGAGCTACACTGCAAACTTAGCCGCAGTCATGGTCGGGGAGAAGACCTTCGAACAGGTCTCGGGAATTCACGACGAGAAGGTCAGACTGCATGCAAGGACACAAAGTTGAAACTGCATGCATGTCAGCGCCCCATACACATATACAGACCCACATGTACACACAAACTAATCTTACACAAGGACAGGCTAATGAGTATAGAGTGGAATTATTTGTGAAGGATTATCACTTTCCATATCCCTAAACCCTGTGGGGAGATCAGGGCTACAGTGAATTTGATATGCACCCCATCATGATACCCCCCCTCCTTCCTTTATCACCTCCACCACCATCTCCACACTCATGTCTTCCTGTGTCACCTCCACAGCTGCACCATCCATCCCTGGGCTTCCGTTTTGGGACGGTGAGGGAGAGCAGCGCTGAGGATTACATGAAGAAGAGCTTCCCGGAGATGCACGACTACATGAGACGCTTTAATCAGCCCACCACCCCAGAAGGCGTACATATGTTGAAGTAAGACATGCACACAGTGTACATTTGTTTAAAAAAAAAAAAAAAGCCTCATTAAAATGCAATCCAGACCTAAACAATCCAGTCACGTTTACATTTGTTATCTGCGGTTGTCTGTATTCTGTGCACTTATTTTCCATGCGCACCGTGCATAACAAGTCTGACTCCTGACAACAAGAGCAAACGTGGCAGATTTACAGCCGTCTGAGGCTATTTTAATACAGAACCTACTGTAAACATCGGAAAATCATCTCCTCAAAATAGAATTCATGTGTTGCTTCTCTAATATCCTGTAGGAAATACTTAAAAACTGTGATTTTCTTATGTTTACGTCCCCTGAAATGTCTGACCTTGACTATGCAGGCTTGTAGCTTTGCAAAGTTTGTCACAAGAGAGGTGTTTTTACATCCCTCTACTCAAGGGGACGATGTGCACTTCCCCAAAATCTGAGAGTCAAACGTACTTTGGGCAAGTTAGATCAAGTATGTCACTAATACAAAAGCCAATTGCTTTCTAATATGGGAAACGCTTATCAAATACAAGCTAAGAAACCTGAAACGTCCTGCACAGAGCGGCCTTGTCAGTGCAGAGAGCAGAGTTAGCATTAGCATATTCAAAGTTTTGACAGCAAACAGGGTAGAGTGTTTTGCATGTAAATTGGACCCTGAAGCTTCCTTACACTATCTACCAAAAACCCCATTGTAGCAGATATTATTGTGTGTTTCCATAACAGGAATGCAGTGCCAGCCACTTCCTGTTAGCCTACAAGCTAACAAAATACACTAGCTACACTTGACATTCTGATACGTCAGCTGGTCAATGATTTTGTTGCACAACAGACTCATTTGATTTTGAGTCAGACTGAGGTTCAAACGTGTACAGCTGAATCTCTTAGCCAGACATCTTAATGCACGCTGCTCTTTCACTGGTCAACTTAGCAGTAGCAGCACTGCAGAGAACAACACCTACTATAAGCATATTTATCAATGAGGGAGAAAGACTTACAGTGTTCACACTATGAGCGATACAGCAACAGGCTACAAGTCATTTTCAGTGGAAGTCAGTAACATGACATTACAAACTGATGCTCGTCACTTGTCGCTGCAGATAGGCATGACACACTGCAAATTAAAGTTAAGCTGGCCTCAACTTTTTCTCAGCTCTCGAATGATGCAGTGAAATGTTAAGCAATCATATGTTTTTGTTTCTAGCTGTGGTATTGTGTGTTGCACACAGCGACACAATGTGGCAGTGAAAGGTGATGTTAAAATGGGGTTCAGACACTGATCAAAAGCATAGATTTTTTTTCAACCAAATACAAACCTTTGATGACGTTCAGTCGAGGTGCTTTGTAGCATACACAAATGCGTGACGACATATCTATGTTAAAATGAAGGAATACCTTGCACATCTGTTTTCAAACAGGTGTGTAGGAGAGGGATGAGAAGAATAAAACTTGTGACTCTGGCACACTGTCTAACCTGCAAAAATAATGATTTTAATGCTGCAACGTTTCGGTGACTAGACCTTCATCAGGCAAACAGTTTTGTAACAAAGAGAAGCCGTCTTAAGTAGGAGTGGCTGTGAGTTTGCAATCAGTCACATTACCCACGTGCGGTGGGAAGACATTACAATAAGTTAACTATCAACATTATAAATAAAAATGGAGGAATAAAGCGGTAAAAGTAAAATCAGTTTAGTGACAATCTTCAACATACCCCAGAAATTCCATTTAATAGGTATGTTCTTGAGAGTAAATGCCTAAATTCTTATTGTTAACTTGCATTCTCTGAAAAATACACATCCAAATCTTGTTTACATCAAGAATAAGTATTAATACCCAATAGAAAACTAGACGTATCTTAACCAGCGCTTGAGTAACACTAGTCAATAATCAGAATCAGAATCAGAAAAACCTTATTGATCCCCAAGGAGGACATTGTGATTGGTTACAGTCACTCCGATGTAAAGAATAGAGAATTATAAAAAGTAAGAATAAGAGTATGAAATAGAAGTATGTAAATATATAGCAATAAAAAAAAAATTGGAATAAAAATGTGCATTAAAAATAAAAATTAATGCATTATGCCACAGTGTTTAACACTGGTACTTAAGATATTAAAAATAAAATATATATCATCACTGTGCTGAGGCTGTGTGAAAATTTTAACTACAATATATACATCAATAAAATAAAACAAAAATAAAATAAGAGTAAACATAAGAAATATGTACAGTTATCTGCACTGTATGTTGAATAAATATATACATTCAAGAGGTACTGGTGAGAATAGAGTCAATACTAAATACCTCAACTGCCACAAGAATATTGTGGCAGTTATTGCACCCAATAGATAATTATGAATTATAAATGCAGTAGGTGAAAACAAGTCCAAATGCATTTCTATTGGCACAGGCAGCAATGACTTCCTGTCGTGCTCAGTGGTGCAACTTGGGGGAATGAGTCTGTCACTGAATATGCTCCTGTTTGACCAGCATGTCAAAGAGTGGGTGGAAGACATTGTCCAAGATAAGATGTAACTTAGACCCCATCCTCCTCTCTGACACTGCAACCAAAGAGTCCAGCTCCACCCCCACCATGTTACTGGCCTTGCGAATCAGTTTATTGAGTCTGTTGGTGTCTGCTACCCTCAAACTGCTGCCCCAGCACACAACAGCAAACAGGATCGCACTGGCCACCACAGACTCATAAGACATCCTCAGCATTGTCCGGCAGATGTTTAAGGACCTCAGCCTCCTCAGAGAATAGAGGTGACTTTGGCCTTTGTTGTAGAGGGCTTCAGTGTTCTTAGTCCAGTCTGGTTTGTTATAAGTATGCAAGGCTGTGAGGTCCAAAGGACAGAGGGATGTCGTATGCTGTAAAGCCCTGTGAGGCAAATTGTGATTTGTGATATTGGGCTTTATAAATAAAATTGAAAATTGAATTGAAGGTACTTGTAGTCCTCCACAATATCCACACTGACCCCCGGATGGAAACAGGGGTCACCGAGGCCTTTGCCCTACTCAGATCCACCAGCAGTGTACCTGGTCACACTGTTGCATTGTTGCTCGCAGTATGAATGTAGCATTAATCTGCTTCCAGACTCTTTTCACAGTATGTGGGAAAACCATGTTAAAATATAGTATCAGTATAAGCATTTTTACATTTTTTAAAACATGTCTAGAATGGAGCGTGAGATGGATCGGCGGTTTGGTGCAACTTCTCCAGTGATGCGAGCGCTGCACCGGTCTGTCATGGTGAAGAGGGAGCTGAGCTGAAAGGCGAGGCTTTCGAGTTACTGGTCCATCTACGTCCCAACCCTCACCTATGGTCATGAGCTCTGGGTAGTGACCGAAAGAATGAGATCGCGGATACAAGCGGCCAAAATGAATGTCCTCAAAAGGGTGGCTGGGCTCAGCCTTAGAGATAAGGTAAGGAGCTCCAACATCTGGAGGGAGCTTGGAGTAGAGCCGCTGCTTCTTCACGTTGAAAGGGGTCAGTTGAGGTGGTTCGGGCATCTGATCAGGATGCCTCCTGGGTGCCTCCTGTTAGAGGACTTACGGGCACATCCCACTGGTAGGAGGCCCCGGGGTAGACCCAGAACATGCTGGAGGGATTACATATCTCATCTGGCCTGGGAACACCTTGAGGTCCCCCAGGAGGAGCTGGAAAGTGTTGCTGGGGAGAGGGACGTCTGGGGTGCTTATCCAGGGCCTGCTGCCCCCTCGACCCGGCCCTGGATAAGCGGACTAAAATGGATGGATAGAACTGGAGAGGGACTGTGAAACAGTTCACGATGTCACCTGGAGGTCATGTATAGATAGTGAATAATGTCAGTCTGAGACAGTCTGATTCAACAGCTGAATGCCCTTCAATAAGATTTAGATCCGATATTTTAATCAAAACTTCTAAAAGCCTGCAAATCAAGTGTCAGTGTACCAACTCCAAAATGTGTCACCCGACGACATCAATTCGAATCGAGGCTGTTTTTAATGTTGGCACCTTCTGACATTTCTATCTAACATCAACGTAATTTGTGTTTTAGGGTTGATTTTCCCTTTGATCTCCCGCCGTCTGCAGTGATGTTGTGTCGTTTGTGATGTTGTGTCGTTTTCTTATTATAGTGAACACGCTGTTTGCTTTCGCATCTGACAGAGATACCATCAAGTACTCATCACTTTGTGAGCTGCAAATATTTACACCCTGCATCAGTGTGAGCTTTTCCCCTATCCAGAGACGCTACGTTTTAGCACGAGGTAAAAGTGAGGTGAAAGCCTATGAATTACATAAATTACATTAAAAAAAGAGTCTTACCCGTTAGAGGGAAAATATTTTAGTTAATTAAAAGTGCTGAATGTGGAGATGAATGAGGGCCAGGGACAAATTGATGAAACGAGGGCCGAGGATGAATGGCTGAATCGGGTGTCAGAAGGGGATTGTGAGAAGATGAAAGCGGCGAGGCAAGGCAAGTTTATTTATATAACACGATTATTCACAAAAGCAGTTAAAGTACTTTACATAATGCATTAAAACACTGAATACAACACAATTTAAGGAATAGGAACAATTCTGAAAGAATTTCTGCAGAAATAAATGGAAAGTAGTTCGGGATGATAGAGAGTGGTCATGGTTCATTCAAAGGCAGGGGAGGAAATAAGAGTTTTAACCTGGATTTAAAGGTTGAGGAGAGTCATATCTTTAAGAAGTTTTCTCGACAGCTCTTTGCAGCATGCTGACTAAATGCTGCTTCCTCATGTTTAGTTGTTACTCTTGAAATGGTAAGGCGACTGCTACCAGATGACCTGAGAGATCAAGAAGGTCACGTTGATGAACTTATAGTTTAACACCAAGTCAGTTAAACTCCAGGGTTTTCAATCTGTCCATTCAGGAAGCACAAGTGATTGTGAATCAGTTTCAGCTGCTTTTGTGCAAATCAAAGTGACAACAGGTGCAATGGAGAGGCAAAAGCAAGACAAGCCTCAAAAGGGAATGGTTTTACATG